ATTTTAAGGGACTATTAAGTGTGTAACTGTAGAGTTTTATTTTGAAAAATGAGAAGCTTTTCAGTATTTTGTGGTAAAAAAAAGAGCAGTTCTGCAGGTCATTCTTTGTGGAGAAAGACTGAGAGGTACTGAGGGTTGCTCAAAAGAGGGACTGCTCTATTGTGCCACTAGCAAAGCTCAGATTTATCACTGAAATTGGTGCGGAATGCTGGGTGCTCTGTGCTTTTTAAAGCCTGATCCTGAAGGTGCCTCACAGTGGGGTTCCTCAGACAGTTCAGGTGCCTATGTGGAAGTGTTAGCTTTAATGCCATGAGGAGTTTCCCAACTGCTGCTGTAAAAGGAGAATAGAGTGGTAAAGTAAAAGTGGTTGAGAAATAAGCACCTCTGAAACGCTGCAGTCAGTCAGTGTTGTCTGGAAAAAAATGCCTCTGCAATATACTCTGTGTAGGCTTCTTTGCAGAAGTGATACTTTTACTCTCTGGAAACTAAAAAAAAAAAAAACCCAACCCACTACAAATCCCTTGGTATTTTTTTCCTAAGGCTTAGCTAACAGGCAGGAGTGAGCTGCAAACTGATGTTCCTTGTACATGTTATGAAAAACTAGAAGTGTGATGCATTTGTGCTTGGAAAGGACAAGCAGTGGAAATAATCAAGGAGTTATTATGAAGATGGTGTGTTTCTAGTGCTCTGGTATCCTTTGGTGGATCTGCTTACTTGAGCTGTGTAAGGGACATCACCAGTAATTTTAGTGACTGGGATCTGCATGTGCCCTGAAGTTGGTATGTTGGCAATTTCTGGCTGTTACTTGTTTTCTAGGAAAATATATTCTTGATCTGCATACTACTACTGTCTCTGTGAAGGTGGTTGTCCATGGCAGTGAAGGGAGGAATTGAATTAATTTTTAAAATAATTTTTCGAAGTGACTTTATTCAGTATTATGTCAAAGAGCGTAGTGTTGCTGTCAGCTGTTTTCATCTGTTGTGAACTATGGACTAAATAATGGTCTTGGCAAACATTTTTCTTCTAGAGATCTGTTATGGACACACTTCATTTGCAAACATGGATTTCAAAGTTCACATCTTGTACTAGGTCTTATCTTAATGATAATGAACTCACTCATGTGGCTTTTATAGGAATCGCTGACATCCACTATGTGGGCACAGGACCTTTATCTGAAACGGTGCAAGCTCAGCCTGCAAGCCAGTCCCCTGATCCAAGCAAGCCCTGCAGGACACTTCTTGGAGGGCTGCCAGGGGTTATGAACCTGCTGTGAGCAACTGGAAGTGATTTCAGGGCTGCAGGCAGCTCTCTACTCTAGCTGACTTCAGTGAGAGCCCTCCTGTGCTTCCAGGGGTTCCTAGGTTAATCTCAGGTTATGGGAATGCCTGCTAACATGGATCATTCTGCTCGGCCATGTATTCAGTCCTCCCTAAGTCTGAGCCCTGGGAAGTTTGTCTCTTTTCTGGACTTGACATCCACACCTGGCAGGGCATCCTGAGTCTATTCCTTACTCTTGAATTCCCTTTAAGGCAACATCCCTGAGAATTAATTGAAACAGGATTAATCTTCTGCAGGTGGTAGGATGGTCTACCACCACCTTGAATGGTGTGTTGTGAGCAGTCATAGTAGGATGGGATGCTCTGTCTTGCCAGTCCCTTTTGATTTTTTTTTTTTTTTTCCTGTGAGTGTATGCATAGCCTGAAAAGCAAAAGGCTATTAAGTGAAGATTTTTCCTAATAACCTCCTTGCACCATGAAAAGTCCCCCTTCAACAAAGTGAAAATTTATGCACCCTGACCATTTCTGTGTGTTTTGAGCTAAACTTCTCCCATGTCTTCCAGTGGTTTTAAAGGAGTGTTACTTGGTAGTTTCCACTAACTTGTGGTTTTTTTCCCCCCACAGCTGCAGCAGCCATGAGTAAGGGCAAGTCGGTAAGTATTGTTTCATAAAGCTGCTGTACTAAATCTTTGGGTTATGCTGGGTAACTTTAGCAGTGCATTTAAAAAAAATCATAAATATAATTTGAAAGTATAAAATAAGCTATTGGTTAACACATGCAAAGCAGTCTGGTAGCTTACTAAATCCCCCCTGAGTTAGCAGTGTGCTCACCCTGCTGATAAAACATCTGAAGGGCCTTTGCTGTCTGAGCAGACATTGGGTGGAAGGAGAAGGGTCCCTGGAGCCCATCCTCCATGTGGCTGAGTTGTCATCATCTCCTAACTCTCCCTTAGGACTCTCTTTACCTTTTGGCATTAGTTATTCCTTTTCAATCTTTGAACTGTTAATGACACACATCTCAGCAATCCTCTCTCTGCCTTTGCTTTTCTTATCTTGCAAGGTTTTACTCCAGACTTTCCCCATAGCTTTCTCACTGCTTACTGTCTTCCTCAGCAGCCAAAGTCAAAGCTGTGCAGTGGGGTGGTGTCAGACCTCTGCCTGGCATCTCCAGGGCAGAGAAAAGTTACAGAGAGCAATAGAAAATTTGACCTCCAGGTTACCTCTTCAGTGGTGGACCCAGTGCTTCCTGGCTGATGAGGATCACAATGGAAAATGTTTCAGTAAATGTGTACGTGTGCACATCTATAATGCAATAGATGGTTTGCACTACATTGTCCTCTTAAAGAACACTATAGATCATCTATTATCAGGGCATAACTGCACATTCTTCTTGCTTGCAGCATCTTGGAAAAACAGAAGGTCTGTTACCTTGGGAACAACCCTGTAGCTTTCTCCTGCATGCCCCTGTCTGTGCCCAGCCCCCTCTGTGACATGCAGATCAGAGCAGTTCAGGGGCAGCCAGTGAGAACCCACCAGTGTCTGCTGTGCTGGCCTGTGAATGCAGGATGTCTCTGCTAGGCACATAGCTGCTTGTGGTTCAGATGGAAACCCAGACTTGGTGGAAGCTTGATACCTCCCCAGATCAGCACCTAACACCCTCTTAAGTGATGAGCTGTTGATTAGTGTGGTGGTGTAACACTGCAGAGGTTTGTGAGAATCCCAAGATGGAAAAAGATTTTAGTGAATTTCTGATGGTGAAGGGTCCAGTGAGCCCCTGGGCCAGGACTGCCTTGTCCGTTTTTTTTGCTCTGTAGGCAGGTCAGACCCAGGGAAGGCTTTTTCCTGCTTCAGATGGGGACATTCTCTCCTCCCCATCTAGGTTGTTCCAAGTTACAGTAGCAGTAACCGGTTGTGCAGTGTGGGTTGCTGTTTTAGGACCTAAGCTAACAACAGTTGAAATCAAAACCTTTGGGATACATCTAACGGGTGCTGAGCCAAACCTTCATGGTGTGGTTCTCCATCTACCTGTGAGCATGAACACTTGCATGGCTTACAGGGGCAGTGCATGGACACAGGGCTAGGGAATGTTCTTCTGTATGAACTCCAGTCCACCAAAAGCTGTGCACAAGTTTGGGCTAGTCATCTAGAGCTCCTGCTACCTTCAGCTGAGGCAAACAGGCACTTTCAAGTGAATTTTATCTAATTTTGGGATCCATGTTTTCTTTCAGAGACATCTTTCTGCCTATGGAGATTGTGATTAAATCGAGTGACAAGTTTCTTTTTAGGCCTCTAATTTTGGTTGCCCTAAAGCTAGACGAGTCTCATCTGGCATTCAGCTCAGCTGAAGTCAGATTCTTTCAGTGAAGCCTGCTTATCAAACCATGTGCAAGATGGGCACTATATACTTGGTTCCGCTGATAACAAAGATCGATGCTGTTCAGGCTGCTTGGGCATCCTCATGACTGAGTCAAACCAAGTCAGCAGTTCTCCCACCATTCTCATTTCTCTTGCAGTACTCCCAGAAAGCTTGTTGTAGCACACAAGCCTGTGATGTTCATTAAAGGCTCTGGCCAGTGGCTTTGCTGCAGACATGGGCTCTCTGCTATACTCATGTCCGACAAGATTTTCCCATGTAAACGTTTCTTTTCTTTTGATCTACAAAGTTAACTTCTTTGTTTCACACAGAATACAGATTAGTTTGATTCTTAAACTCTGACAGCAGGAAGGTGAACAAAGTAATTTTTTTTTTTTTCTTGTCCATGCTGCTTAAGTTTTATAACTGTTTTACCTTTAGGATGTTCTGATGCTTATTAAAAATCTGATTTTTGCAACCCATAGAATTAAACACATATAAAAAAGGTAAAAGGGAAGGATTATATTATTAGTTGTTAATATATAATTAACTTGCACTCCTATTGACTTTAATAGAAATTATATGGTGCATTCATTGACTAAGAAGGTGATCAGAAGTAAAACTTTCTATGCCACACTTGCACCTGATGTTTTTTTCCCCTTTGTGTCAATGGCAAGAGCCATGTCACAAGCTGCATGATGGTGAGCATGGAGATGCCTATCACAGCAGTTGAAGGCCCAATAAATTTGACAGTTAATGCTGTGTCACTGTAGGAGTAAAGTCAGTTCTATCAGCACATTTGAAGAAATTAAGGATTCTTTGACAAGCAAAGTATTTGTAAGGATAGGAGTTTTCCTGAGAGACTTGTTTGAATAAAATGTTAAGTGTTTCTCAGCTGGAGGTAACTAAAAATGGCCCCAGGTTTCTAACTGTGGTGTGCTGTGGGTGCTTAGCATGGTGGGGTTTTTGTTGTGTTTGGGTTCTGATTTTTTTTTTTTTCCAAAATGTTGGCTTTTTGCATTTCTTTTTTTTGATAACAATCAGTATTGCCCTAAGGGCTAAATGCTGAAGACTTCAAATGTGCCAAGTGCAATGCATGAAGGTCAAACGTAGCATTACTGAAGATCTCTTGCGAAGGGCAGATGCAGAGTCTGTAGAGCTCTGGGGACCAGGATGGGAAAGTGAGAATTGGCCCTTGGTTGAGGGAAAGCAGTGCTGTTCCACAGACATGCATGTAGCCTCCTAACCCCCAAGCACCTGCCCGCTCCCACTGGGTCTGTATCGAGCTCGCTCAAGCTGTGGGTCGCAGGGAGCAATGTTAGTCTGTGTTGTGCAGCTCTGAGCTCATGCTGTCTGTCTCTTGCCTCCAGCCAACCTGCCTTGGCTACCCACTGAGCATTTTCTTCATCATCGTCAATGAGTTCTGCGAGCGGTTCTCCTACTATGGCATGCGAGGTATGTCCCAGGCCCCGTTTCTCCTCGTGCTGACCAGCCCTGACGTGGATTTGTAACCCATCGTTTTGTTCTTCCTACAGCGGTGCTCGTTTTGTATTTCAAGTATTTTCTGCAGTGGGATGACAATTTGTCTACAGCCATCTACCACACGTTTGTTGCTCTGTGCTACTTGACGCCAATCCTTGGAGCCATCATTGCAGACTCTTGGCTGGGAAAGTTTCTGTGAGTGCTTCCTTGGAAAACAATCATGAAAGCTCACCTGAAATCAATGAGGTCACTCAAGCCATCACATAAAGCAGTAGCTCGGAACAACAGCTTCATGGCTGATGTTGGGCTACTCCAGGATTGTTTGTGGTTTTTTTTTTTAGCTCCAGAACTTGAGGGTTTAACTGGTTTAGCTCAGACCTGAAACTGCACTGCAGGTTAACGAATGCTACAAGTCCTGTTAATCGGTTAAGGGTAGTAGATTGCTTTCCAAGCATGCTGAATGTTTTCTCATCTGAACAAAATGTTAGCTAAACTAAGAAAAGTATTCACCAAGCTGTGAAAATAGATAGTGGAGGCTATAATTACATTTGACTGCCTCTTCACCTATTCATACCTATTGCAGGTGGCCAATGAAGTGGTGGAATAGCGTGTTATCTGCTATTAACTGGCAGTTGGAATACATTATAAAATATTCTGTAATTTCAGTATTGACTTGACAGCTCAGAATGCTTCACTGAGTTGCAGTTTCCTTTACTGATGAATTCTGGGGGTTTGCCTGCATGCTCACTGCTCAGGAAAATACTGATGAATTAAGTGCTTTGAAATGTAACCAGATTATTTCCAACAGCCTGATCTTGCTGTCCTTTCCTGATGGTGTGATTCTAATAGTGTTTGCTTTACCTTCAGGAAAAAAAAAAGGCACCATAAAGATTTTATGGAGGGATATGAGTCAGGAATGTTAGCTGACTTGTCAAAGGTCTTCCAGAGATTGGAGATGAATCTGGCTTTGTGGATGGTTGGCTGAAGGCTACACCATCTTCTTCCTCTGACAGCCTCTAGGAGCTCTGTGGAGCTGATCTAACCAGAACTCATTGCAAGTAGCTGGCTATCATGCCAATTGCAGCTTAAATATAGTGTACTTGCTTGTTTAAACAGTGTGGGTTTCTTAAAAATCTGTTTTGGCTTTTCCCTGTTTTATCAAGATGAAGCTTTGAATCCCTTCTCCTCTGGTACCTGTGTAGCATGGCTCAGGGCTTAAAACTGGAACCTTAATCTCGACAAGAAAAAAACCCCATGCTTTTGGAAAAAGCATAGCTTTCTTGTACAGATGCCCTAAAATACAGCAAAGTTCCATGAGGAAGGCTTAAAGAATAACTCATTTTAAAAATCTATGATGACAAGAAGAAGGGGAGGTTACCCAAGCAGTGTTAAGCGCTCTTAGAGGTGAGATTTGAATATTCCCAAGTCCATGGACTTCGTGCAATGTCTGCCAAGAAGCATGCTGGGACCTGCTCACATGTTAGATGTGAAGTTCTTGGGGAAAGTAGTACAGAAATCACAATAATTTTTTTAATTGGGTGCCATCTCTGCAGTGCCAATTACTTAAGTGGTGTTTTCACAGCATGCTTATGAGCCTTGTAAATAAAAGTTTCTCTCTTGATCAGATCAGGTTTAATTTCAATTGGAATCTTTCTCCCAAGTTGTTAAGCAGCTGAAGTAACTATACGGAAGTGCTATTTAAAAAAAAGCTCTAATTTATCTACTAAATATTGCTAAATAGCAGATTCACTGTTGCCCAACTTTATATAGCTTTTGACTCTGCTACAGGGAAGGGCATTTTTTTAAGTTGGAGAAACCTTGTTCTAAAGTGAAAACAGCTTGGTCTATGATGTGAGTGATGCTTCCTCTCCCTCTCGGATTAGGATGCCCTAAGCTTGCTGTGAGGATCTCTTGCCTTTGCCAAATAGATTCAGATTGTCCCGTGTCCTTGAGCCTTGCTCGTCACTGTCATGGGCTGCACTGGGTTTGGGGCTGCTGCTCCTAGAGTTTTAAATATTTCACATCATTGTATCCACATCATTGCATCCTGTTTCTCCTGCTTTTCCTCCAAGCTGGAGACCTGTGATCTGTGCTTATCGAATGAACCCACAACCAAGGAAATGGATGAATGCGGATTAAAATATAGTCACATTCTTAATCTACAACCAAGTTAGGATGGAGTATGTTTTGTTGTACAAGAAAGAGAAAGGGACTCTGAAGGCATGGGGGTGGGGGCTGGTGATTCTGTAGTCATGCCTTCCTAGGCACCTCCTGGCAGAGGAAAACCAGGCTGGAAGCCTGCACTCTGTACTCTTCTCTTCTCACTCCGCCCAGTTTAAATATCCTGTAAAGCTTACAACTGAGGGAGTGTGGTAGTAAGAGTTGTTGTTCACAACAGTATTTTGGAGGAGTTTCAATCTTTAAAGTAGGTCTTAATTTTTAAATTTCTTTCCTCCTTGCAGCTAAGATATAAGAAAACAAAGAGTAATTAAACAATATTAAAATCAGCATAAATTGCATATGTCAGTGTAGAGTCCATTGGAACTTTGCATTTTAAATGCAATGCTTGCATTCCCACGCTGGTTGTTAGAAAGACAACTAAATATCTCCTGTGATGTGGTGATACCTACAGAATCCCTTTGTCATCCTAACTTGCTTAGTTAAACGAGGCTAGTTAAAGAATAATGATAAAAACAAACAGAATAATAATAAACAGAATAACAGAGGTATGCAGACAGATTTTTACAGTAGTTTTTGAGAAGTTGAATCTGTAACTTCCTGTGTCTGTTAATTATGCTTCTTTTCTAAGCATCTTTTGAAATGAGCAAATGTCTGTGATTCTCTGTATGTTCCCCAGGGCTCAGTATTTGGGCCTGTTCTCTTCAATATTTTTATCAGTGATCTGGACGAGGGGATTGAGGGCACCCTCAGTAAGTTTGCAGACAACACCAGGTTAGGTAGGTATGTTGACGTGCTTGAAGGTAGGGAGGGTCCCTCTACAGAGGGATCTGGACAGCCTGGATGGATGGGCTGAGGCCAGTGGGGTGAGGTTCAACAAGGCCAAGTGCCGGGTCCTGCACTTGGGTCACAACAACCCCAGGCAGCGCTCCAGGCTTGGGGAGGAGTGGCTGGAGAGCTGCCTGATAGAAAAAGGCCCTGGGGTTGTTGTTTGATAGCTGGCTAAACATGAGCCAGCAGTGTGTCCAGGTGGCCAAGAAGGCTAACGGCATCCTGGCCTGGATCAGAAGTGGCATAACCAGCAGGAGCAGGGAAGTGATTGTCCCCCTGTACTCAGCACTGGTGAGGCTGCACCTCAAATATTGTATTGAGTCTTTGGGGCTGCTCACTACAAGAACACTGAGGTGCTGGAGCATGTCCAAAGGGCAACAAAACTGGCAAGGGGTCCAGAGCACAAGTCTTAATAAGGGTCAGCTGAGGGAACTGGAGTTGTTTAACTTGGAGAAAGGGAGTCTGAGTGGAGAACTTATCACTCTACAACTGCTTGAAAGGAGGTTGTAGTGAGGTGAGGATCAGTCTTCTCATGTAACAAGTGATAGGACAAGGGGAAATGGCCTCAAGTTGTGCCAGGGAGGGTTAGACCGAGTAATAGGAAAAATTTCCTCCCTGCAAGGGTTCTCAAGCAGTGGAACAGGCTGCCCAGGGAGGTGGTGGGGTCATCATCCCTGAAAGTATTTAAAAAGCATGTAGATAAGGCACTCCGCGTCATGGTTTGGTGGTGAACAGGCAGTGTTGGGTTAATGGTTGGACTTGATGATCTTAAAGGTCTCTTCAAACCCAAACAAGTCTATGTTTCTGTATGTGTGTGAATATGTTAACATAGCTAAAAATTTCTCCTCTCTTTATAACAGGACCATTGTCTCCTTGTCCATTGTCTATACAATTGGGCAGTCAGTCATGGCTGTGAGCTCCATAAATGACCTGACAGATAACAACCGTGATGGCATAAAAAAATTACACATGTGAGTTGTCTTGTACATGTTTGGGATTTTTTTTCAGGTGGCTGAAGGGTGGGACAACTTATACCTTAAATTGATTGAAGGCAATTGAAATTCAAGTAACTTAAGTCTCTTACATATCCTTTAAATAAGAAAGCAAAGTGATTATTTCTTTCATTTTCCTCTTTTTTTTACTTTGTTCCAGTGGTCTATCCATGACTGGCTTGGTTCTCATTGCACTTGGTACTGGTGGAATCAAACCTTGTGTGTCAGCGTTTGGTGGAGATCAGTTTGAAGATCATCAGGTAACAATACCTTTCAGCTTTTCAATGAGACACTCTTACTAATATATGATTATTATGAGACTCTACAGTAATGCACATGTCTAAATACAAATATTATTAATGTTGACTGGGTAGCTGAGGAAGGAGGTAGATAACTGTCTTGAACTGTGCAAACAGAGCTGCTGATTGTTCAATCTAGGCTGATCAACGTGGTTCTGGCTAAGCCTTTCTAAGTGTCTTTTGTTTTTACTGTAGGAAAAACAAAGATCTAGATTCTTCTCTATCTTTTATTTGTCCATTAATGCTGGAAGTCTCCTATCTACTGTAATCACCCCAATTCTCAGAGGTAAGGCCACACCCTTGCTTATGAAGTAGTTAAACATCAGTGAAGGATGAGTGTTGGATTGCAGTTCAGTTAAGTGTGAATGAACTGTGTTGTTTGACACCTTGTGGAGTTGTCTGGCAAATCATCTTACATTTTCATTTGTCATCCAGCTTCTCCCAGGTGAGGTACTGTCAAAAAACAAGCCAGTTTGAGATCTGAATTGCCTTTGGGATTAAAAATACTAGACCTGAAGAGGCATACTGAAGTCTTTAGCTTGTGCCACCTCTTCTAATGCCTTTAAAACCACCACTCAGAGTTGTACTGTTTGCTAGGAGGGGAAAGGGGGAGAGAGAGCTATCCACTCTGGAAGTGGAGACTATTCTGAAGTGTGCAAGCTACAGAAGCTACTATGCACATGGGAACACTTATCCATGTGATTAAGTAAATCATGGTTTTCATATAGTTATTTTCTCTTCTGCTTGTAATGAATGGTGTGATCCAAAACAAAGCAAACAATTCACTGATCCTTATGCATGTGGATTTTTGTGGCAAGCTTACACAGATGGTGCTGCATGGATGTGCTTGGCAGGAGTCTGAGGATGGCTGGTTTCTCAAAAGAAAACAGCATGTGTGTGCTGGAATAGCCCTAAAGCACTGGGCTGAAATTCTGGACTTTGGATTTCTTGACTAAAACAGACTGCGTAGAAGCGTTTTAGATGTTTGCTTAATGTAATTTCTATCCTTTCCCAAAATGGAAGGAGATACACATAAAGCACAACATACAGTTTGCTTCCATGTCGATACAGGGTGAAAACTACCTTGGAAAAATGGATAAATACAATTGAGGAAAGTAGTACGATTATGTCCTATAAAATTTAACCAAAGGGCTAACACAACTAAATCAGGACATTAATGTGCTGCAAGCTAATATTTTTTTTAAATCAAACTCTAATTCTCCTGTTAGTAGTACAGTGAAAAAGGTAATAATTTTGTTTAGTCTTTTACTTTTTCCTGTCACTAGCTATGTCCACACTCTGAGCATTTCAGGATGTATGCATGAAGATGATAAAGTTAAATCCCTGCCTACTGCAGGGGATGGGGGTTGTAAGGGCAGGGGTGGTGTTTGAGAATTTTTTCAATAAGATACACTTAGTATGTTACTTATAACTTTGTTTATTAACTAGTCCCAAAACTTTGGTAATCTAGTTCCTATCTCACCAAGAACATGCATTTGACTATTCTAGTAGAATTCTTCACCTCTCAGCCTAAAACTTGAATTGCTTCTTAGCGTAAAATTGAACGTAAATGTCCTATGAGGAAAGGCTGAGAGATTATAGAATCATAGAGGTCTTTTCAACCATGATCATCAAGTCCAGCCATCAACCCAACACTACCATTGCCACTAAACCGTGTCCTGAAATACCACGTCCACATGTTTTTTGAACACCTCCAGGGATGGTGACCCCACCACCTCCCTGGGCAGCCTGTTCCAATGCCTCACCATTCTTTCAGTAAATTCTTCCTATTATGCAATCTAAACCTCCCCTAGTTCAACTCAAGCCTATTTTATCTCCTATCATTAGGTATTTGGGAGGAAACACCAGCACCCACCTCAGTACAACCTCCTTTCAGGTAGTTGTAGAGCACAATAGGTCTCCTCTCAGCCTCCTCTGCTCCAGGCTAAACAATCCCAGTTCCCTGAGCCAGTCCTCATAAGCCATGTTCCCCAAATCCTTCACCACCTTTGTTGCCTTTGTCTGGACCTGCTCCAGCACCTCAATGACTTTATTACATTGTGGCACCCCATATCTGGGACTGTTCAGCCTGAAGAAGGGAGCGCTCAAGGGGATCTCAACGATGTACATAAATACCTGCATGGAGGGTGCAAAGAAGGTTGGAGCTGAGCTCTTTTTCAGTGGTGCCCAGTGGCAGGACCAGAGGCAATGGGCACAAATGGAAACCCAGGAGTTTCCCTCTGAATATCACAAAATAACTGTGAGGGTGGCTGAGCACTGGCACAGGTTGCCCAGAAAGGCTGTGCACTCTCCATACTTGGAGATACTCCAAAGCCATCTGGAGGTGCTCCTGGGCAATCAGTTCCTGCTTGAGCAGAGAGGTTGGATCAGATGATCCCTTCCAACCTTGAATTGTTCTGTGAATTTTGTGATAAATAATTCCCCTTTTCAATAATGAAAGGTAAGTTGGGTACTGATCATCCACCCTGTCAATAACATCAGCAGAGGTTTCCCCTGTCACCCCACCCTGAGTTAACAGTGAATGAGGGGAGCAAACTCTGTGTGAAATACTGGCAGCCCTGACTGGGACCTTTATCTAATGTGACCTTGTACTTCAGCTCAAGAGTGTGGCATTCACAGCAAGCAGAGATGTTACCCCCTGGCTTTTGGAGTCCCTGCTGCCCTCATGGCCATCGCCTTAGGTGAGTGCAACTGTTCCCATCTTGCCGCTGCAGTTAGAGACATGGTTAGATGTTAACAATCTCAGAATAAAGACAAAGTGGTAGAAATCTTCAGGCATCAATTTTTATCAATACCTGATTTTTTTTTTTTTGGTGATTTTTGACTTAAAGCTTTTTTTCTTGGGGATGTGTGTGTGGGAATTAAGCTGAAGCACTCACTTTTACAGAGGAGACTGTTTTACCAGGAGAGACTGAGGGGGCTGGGGAGAGGCACAAATATACCATTGAATTCTTTACGTTATGTGACTTACTGTCTGTTTCTTGGGCTACTGGGGTGCATAAATAAGATCTTTTGAATGTAGCATGAGAACTCTGAGAAAACGTGGCTTTTTGAAACTACCTATAATCCAGGATGATGAAGTGTAGCAAATGCTGGTCCCTGCACTGGAGAAGTGCTCTACTGGTGTGTCAGTATTTCTCAAATGCCTGCATTTTCCCTAGCTGCACTATGGGCCACTCTGAGCCTTTCTGCTGCAGCACAAAGACATAGAAACTGGAGGGATGTCACCATATACCACAGTAGTCCTTGTGGTCCTGACTGGGAGCCTACCCAGGGTGAGCCTCCAGCTACTGGTGACCCCATCCTGCCTGTGCACCCAGCCCAGGGCAGAGAGCAGCTGGAGGGGTTTGCCTGTGCCTGTGGGAGGGTGAGGCCAGGGAACGTGCCTGGGCGTGGGAGCTCGGGAGACCTTGGCAAGTGCTGCAGTTCAGGCAGAGCCTCACGTGGCCCTGCATGATGTGAGCTGCAGTGCCCTTGACTCTTCAAAAGGAGCCTGTAAAGCTGTCTTAATCTGGTACAGAAAGGCCAAAGCCAAGGTTCTAAGTGGTCCTTGTTTTGACCATCCCCCAATTAAACTAGCACCCACTGAGGATTTACCCTGGGAGTTACTAGATTTGATCCCTTGTCTTAAATAGAAGCAATCTGCTGTTATTAATTTGATTTCTTTTATTGTGTGATAACATCATACAATAGGCAAATTTATTGTTCCTTAGGAGGCTTATTCCCACCCTGATGTTACTCCTTTACTGTTACAATTTCCATACCAAATTATCTGCCACTATTTTCAATTAATCCTGAATTCCTTTTGTTTTCTGTTTGTGTATTGTAGTTGTGTTCATTGTTGGAAGCAGAATGTACAAGAAAGTTCAACCTCAAGGAAATATAATGGTTCGAGTTGTCAAATGCATTGGAGTGAGTACTATTTGCATTCCTTAAAACCCTGGCAGCAGTTTAAAAACTGTTCAGTAAACATGCTTTGATCAGGAATCCATTATGAGGAAAGCTTCTTACTGACACCTCCAGATTTAGATTGCCTTTTTATTTATCTATACCTGGGCTTATATGTAAATTTCTACACAAAGCAATCAAGGTGTCAGTGATATGTAAAAGCTTATGCCAGCTTCTGGGAATCATTCGTTCCTTATTTGTGCACCTTTATGCAGCCTGGTAGTAAGAGACAAATATGCCTTGACCAGAGTCAAGAGCAGAGCTACTAGTATTATCTTATCAGCAAAAATGTATTACTTATTAGAAGAATGTTCTTTACAATGCAGATGTATATTGATCCCCACTGTATTAAGGGGATCAGGAGGTTGTGTTAGTGCAAGCCTGCAAGGAAGGGAGCTAAATCTGCCTGAATAGCATTGTCCCAACTTCAAGTGCCTCAACATATTGAGATCAAGGGATTTTTTCTTTTACTTATGGGCTTCTTCATTCCTGATGCAGATCTGCCAGCTTGTTACAACCCAGACCATTGCTTCTCTTGTAAGCGCTGTCAAAAATAATTATCTATAAATTGCTTTGGCCATTGCTTAAAGTTCTGCCCCTGTGGTCCAGCTCAGCCTTGCACGTTAATCCATGCAGAAAGTCTTAGGAGTTCTCTCAGGACTGTACTTGTATATGGTCAGTGTAAAGGTGTGAGGAATATGAGTAAGATGCAGCTTCTTAAAGTGAAATGTACCCTCACAGCCATTCAGCTCTGAAAGCCTGTGCATATGCATTCTTCTATCTGTTGTACATAAGCTGAAGTAGGCAGGTCTTAAGCTCCTAACAGCAACCCATGTTGAGAGAGACTACTGTTTGGTTCACCTGATCCCAGGTGCAAGCTCCACTAGATATGCAGTGTGAGGCCTTTGATGCAATACTCCCTCAGATATGCACAGCAGTTAACAGAAGAAAGTCATCTTTAGCACCTTCTAAACACTAGAAGCAGGAGTGTCATCTTTAGTGACAAAACTTATAGGATTTATAAATATTTGTAATGCCATTATGCAAAATTCTCTTTCCTCAGTTTGCCATCAAAAACAGGTTTCATCATCGCAGCAAGCAGTTCCCCAAGAGAGAGCATTGGCTGGACTGGGCGAGTGAGAAGTATGATGTGAGTACTGTGTGGCCACGTCTGTACAGTGGCACCTCCTGATGCTCAGCTTCTCTTCTGTCTGCTCTAATCCATTGCCTCAGGCACTGGGCAGGTAGTTTTGGGTCTTACAATCATCTGGCCAAACCTCAGTGCTCCCCTGGGGCTGCAGGTCATCACCTCAGCTCCTGTGGGAGAAAGCAGAGCTGTGTGAGTCGGTGCTCTGTGGGATCACAGGCTGCCCAGGGAGGTTGAAATGAGATGAAGAAAAGACAGTTTCCATTGTTGAACAAATACAAGCACCTATTGGTTTTGAAGCTGGTAAAATAGCGAGCATTATCCTTGTCAACATTTTGTTTCCCTCAGTAAACTGGCTTCAAAGAGAAATAGGCTGGTTTAATGACTGCATGGTGTTGACTCATGGTTTATGTGCAGAGCTGTAACACTTGTCTTGGGATCAAACTGCAGAACTACACTTAGGAATTCCAGCTTCAGTCAATAAACCCTCCATCCCCCTGGCCTCAGCACAAGCTCCTCACCATGACTCTCAAGGCCTTGTGTCCATGGTCCCCAGCTATGTCCCTTGTCTACTATCCACCCTGCCCTGTCAGCAGCAGCACAAACCTTAGCCTGTCCCCTTTATTTTTATTTCCCTTTTGCCTGTATACATTTTTCATGTGTGAAATGCATTCCTCAGTTACCTGTTCGAATGCCTCCTTCCTAGAAAAATGATGTGGCACTGAGTGCCAGATCTCCTGCTGCCATCAGTACACGTGCCAAGAGGCACAGGTCTGATAGCAGTGTCACCTTTACCCAGCAGCCCTTCCCACACCCACGAAGCAGACCTTGTGCTGTGTAACTGAAATCACCAGATGTTCCCACAGCACATGAAGCTCAGGATGTGGGTGAACATTACATGATGTGTCTTTACCTGCTGCTGTGCTGCAAATAGCAGTCTGCAACTGTCTTTTTTTTTTTTTTTTTTACCATCTCCTCTTGTGTAATTCTCATTTGCAGAAACGACTGATTGCTCAGACTAAGATGGTGTTGAAGGTGCTTTTCCTTTACATCCCTCTCCCCATGTTCTGGGCGCTTTTTGACCAGCAGGTAAACTAGAAATTGTTTGGCTTGGCAGTTAGAGCTATACTATGTCACTCCATGCATACTGAGGTCACCAAACATAAACATGCCTATGGAGGGTGGGAAATAATTCTTTAACCTCATTCTAACATAAAGGGGCAGTTACTAAGTCCTGTTAGTATAGAATGTTCTGCAGGCAGGGGAAGTTCAATTTATCTGGACATGTCCAGGACTGACTCAGTAACTGAGGCCTCTCCAGCTCTTGTATCAGCCAGGACTCAGAGAATGAAATGGTAATTTAAAGCTTTCTTAGTTCTAATGTTTCTTCTACTGTCAGTTGTGAGATGAAATGTAGGGTCCTAGTGTAAATGCTCTGGAGAGCCAGGGCTCAAATGACCTGGATGCCAGTGAACTCAATCCCCCAAATGTGTTATAAATACCTCACACCTTCAAGCAGCAGTATAAGCCTATGATTACCATTTACTTGGTGGGCTGAGTGCTCAGGACCTGTGACAGCAGGCTTTCATGTTTCAGTACTGAAGTAGGAATTCAGGGGCATGTGTGAAAGAACCAGGGGATGAAATCTTTATCCAAGGCAGACTAGAGGAGGTTGGGTCCAGATTGCCTAGATTGTGTTGCCTTAGTCTAGTACCAGTGAGCTGTAACTATCAGTGTGACCTGTTACAAACAGGCAACCCTGCTGTGAAATTCAGAACTAAATACTCATTACATGAGTAATAATTTGTATCTCAGGCAGTGGTACATCACGGGTGGTTAGAGGCTCTTGCCACAGCTGTAGCAATGCATGTTCCTGTCTCACCCAGGGCTCAGGCTGAAAGCCAGCCCTGCTTAACCCAGCTTCAGGCACATTTTCTGGGCAGAGGGCTCAAGGCAGGTCCAGCCCTGGCTTGGCTGCTCGCTGCTGGGCTGCGTGAAGGAGGGGTGAACATGTCAGTGGTATGGGGTGCTCAGGCAGGCAGCAGAGGCACTCGGGTGGGCTCTATGCCCAGCACTCTGTGCAGGATGTCCTCACTATCTCTGCATCTAAATTATTTTTCCACTTTACTTCACAGAGCTAGTCAATAAAGTGAAATGGGCCACAAAGATCACTTTATTCAAGTGTTTACATTGTGGAGTAAGAACAGACCTGTAGCAAGCTAGCTTGGGTTTTTTATTGTATTGCATGTCTTTTGCAACACTTTACTTATGAAAACAATCCAAGAGGAACTTTAGAAGATTGATTTTCTGTGGCATTTAACCTTCTTTTCTTGTGTTAAGGGGTCAAGATGGACACTGCAAGCCACAACAATGGATGGAAATTTTGTAGGTTACTTTTATTGCTTCTCCTTTATTAACATTCACTTTTTTAGATCAGTTGTATTTGTTGTCTTAATATCAAAACCTATTTTTTCTTCACTAGGGATCTATTCAGATTCAGCCAGACCAAATGCAGGTACAGTAATCTGTCTGCCAATTCCAAGTATTTCCCAAAGATTTCATATATGTCATTTTGCTTTAACTGCCCTTCATTAAAAAAAGACTTAGAAAAATACTTAATTCTTCTCCTTTCTATGTTTGTCTTCAACAGACTGTGAATCCAATCCTCATTATTATAATGGTCCCAGTTGTAGATGCTGTGATTTATCCTTTAATCAAGAAATGCAAGATCAATTTCACGTAAGTTGATGTACTTACCTGGCTTCAACAGCAGCTCATCTGAGTGATTTCTTTAAACTCATCTGCCAGCCTAATGTAACAAGAGTGAACATTCAGCTAAGGAGAAAACTGCAGAGCATTTAAAATGGGGTTAATATTTTAACAAAATGAAAATTTAAAAACTATAAAATACTGGAAGTGGTATGTACAAGCAAAACACAGACTAGAAAAAGCAAATCTAATGGTAAACTAATATTTTCCAGTTATGGGCAAAATCTTTTGCTTGCAGGAGGAATGCTGTTTACTAATCTTCACTTCCCCCATGTCTACCCCCTTTCCCTCCCAAAGTGTAAGAAGTAGGAATGCAACATACATCCTTAGCATGTGTCATGTTTTGGACTTAAAACTGCCTGAGACAAGAGATGTTTCCTCTTCAGTCCCAGTGAGCAGTCTGGCTCATTTACATGGTTCTAGGTGTAGCTTCAGAGGGTATTTCACATTTTTAACATGGGATTGTAGTGTCTAGTACTTGCAGTTTGGAGAGGCAGGAGAGAATACAGTTCTTAAAACCATTTTTATAGGGCTAAGATGCAATGCTGTCTTTTCTATCTAGCTGTGAAAACTTGGAGGCATGTGCTGGAAAAGTCATTCATTTGTGGACACTCTACATCTGATAAATAATGCTATAAATATCTAATTTTAAATTTACCCTTAAAGCTTACCTGAATATCAGTAGGCATCTCCTGATTCAACATTTCTTTGATTTTTTTTTTTTTGTCCAATATTACTTTGCTTTAAACATAGCACTATATACACAAGTTGTTACTTTTTGTTTTTTAAAATATATAACTTGTCTTTTCATTGTTTTAAAGCTAAAAACTGCAGTGGATTGTGGTGGCGTTTTTATTCCTACAGATCAGATATTTCCAGAAACCTAATAAGTATGTTTAGTCAATGTTTGAGCCCAGCAGATGCAGAGTAACAGGTTATTAAGATGCTGTAGGAAAGATACGTTTCCTGATAGTGTAACTATGAATTGAGAGGTACCCAGCTTAGCAGAACTTTCTATAACATCTGCCCTTCAAATAGGGGTAATGTGCTAGTTGTGGCCATTTGAGTTTCCCACTGTGGAAGTAAAACTACTACCAGCTGAAGGTCTGTATTTGTCTTGAAACTCACATGTATTTTGTTGTTGTGCCAGGCCCCTGAGGAAGATCACTGTTGGTATGTTCCTCGCATCTTTGGCTTTCGTTGCTGCTGCCCTTGTGCAAGTGCAAATAGATGTGAGTGCAGCTACATGCAACTACTAACAATTAATTGTTAAGACAGAAGAAAGTCTGTTTATGGGGAAAATGAGCCAAGACTTCTAAATTCAGAACCAAGCGTGTAAGCCCAGAAGTGGAGGGAGGGAAAATATTTTAATATGTTGCAGTAGTGTGATTAACATAACACAGTTAGCTATGAACACCGTCTTGCAAAACATCTCATCTGACATTAACATAAATTTCATGCATTAAAGGCACCCTCAGATCTTTGAGACTGAGACTGAAAGATGAAAGCAGAGATTTGTTTGGCCTACCAGAGGCTACTTTCTCTGATCTCTTCTGATAGTTACACTGATGAAGTGTGACAGTCTGAGAATCACCATCACATCATGGGCAAAGATGATACCTGTTCAAGGCAGGATTATCATCCCTGACTTTCCTTGCCCTAAAGGGAGGTGTCATGCCTGAATCAGATCAAGATTTCTCCTGTAGTTGGGATGTTGGCAACACCTCTGGAAACAAAATTATAGGAAGGGAGGAAAGGTTGAGGTAGAACTGAAATAAGCACAACTATTGCAGCTTATGATGCTCTGCAAGAGCAGCAGTTATTTACTGTTACATCTAGAGATTTCATTTCCCACCAGAAGTTCAGTTTCTCTGGGCTTTCACACCAGGCAGTGTCCATACATGCTTCTGTCCAGTTTGGCAGTACTAGTGCTGGGGGAGAGTGAGTGAGAACACAGTACAAAGAAACTGAGGAACACAGGCAGCCATAGGATGTGCAAAAAGCCCATTCCTTAAACTGCAGAGTGGTCTTGGTAGTGGCAGCGTGTTGCAGGGTGTGATCAGAGAGAAAAGGCATCTGGCTGTGGAGACATTGTGCATGAGACTTCTTTCCTGAGGCAGCAGTAAGGCAGCCTGTAACAAAACTCATTATTAAAGTTGCATCCCTCTGACAGTCCCAGATCACCAGGCAAATGGTGATCTTCATCACAAATCATAAATCTTCATCATAAGATAATTAAGATCACAGTAACTATAGTGCTTTTTCCAAGCGATTTTAGGATAGAACACTGATTTTACTTTTTCCTGTCCTACAGAAAACTATTCCAGTTTTCCCTGCAGCTGGGCAATCCCAAATCAAAATAATAAATCTAGGTACTGGTGGTGCAACAGTTCACTTTGGACCTCAGCTTCAGAGTGTGAATGTAACGGCTATGGAGTCGGTAAGTAGGGGGAGATGGGGAAGAGCAAGGTAAAAAAAAAAAATCTAATGGAGCAAATCAAAGTGGTTATTAACTAATGGTTCAAAATTTATTATTTTCCAGTTTTATTCTTAGTTTAGTTTTTTTTTTATTGTATTATGGAATGAATTGTTACTGAAAACGTACTGAATGAAGAAATGGTAACCGTTTCAATATTCTAAGCAGTACTAGTTTTTATTACTAAGAGGGTTATTTTTTTTCCAAGAAACTTTAAAAACTTAATAGTGATTTTTGAACTAACTGAAAATTTCATTCTTGCTAAAAGGGTGCTATTTCTTAACAGCAAGGACACCTGTTCCTTCAATAAAATTCCATTCAACTCTAGTGAGTCACTGCTATTATTTTGAGTGGTAGCTGAATTGAACAGTGGGCTTTTTTTCTGTGGCTATATCAAATATTAAGCTTCAGATTTTGCTGTCAAAGAACCTTTTCATATTGTATTACAGCAAAATCTTGATAGCCCTACTGACAGCAAAACATGGTGGAGCTGATGGACACTTTTACTAATGGATGTTAGGAAGCATATTGTCTGATAGCCTGCAACTCTCTTTCCATATAAGAGGAGAAACCCTATTTATCCTCCTCCAAACTTGCCTCACATCAAAACTGAGCTGTAAGGAGAAGATAAGAGCACCCAAATTGTATGCTGATGGAATAATCATGGTGCATACCTGAAAATGAAGGGTGTAAAATGCTCCACTCTACTATAGACATTTTATAATCCAGGTGTTTAATCATGCTTTTTATAATCCTATAAAATGAGTTATTCCGCTACTACATGAACATTTTCATTAATGTTTTAAGTATTTTATGCTCATGAAATGTATTTAGAATATTTAAAAATATACCCTGATAATGGGCACTCCTGTTATGCTGAAACCATAAAGATGCAGTCTACATTTGCATCTCTTAAGAGTTGTGGCTATTTGGAAAATGCATCTTAACTTGTGCTGATGCTGCCTCTGTAGCTAAACAGAATTTTAGATGGCACTGACTGTAAGTTTGATTTATCTGGAGCAAGAAATACAGAGAAAAATCTGACAGCTATCCCATAATGCCTGTGAGAAGCTCACATTATTTTGAAGCTTGTATAATGAAAAAAATCAATAAAACACAATGATCAAATGAAATTAATGCTTGCTGTGGAAAACCTAATAAATGAAAGGTAGGAGATGCTCATGAACTCTGGCACTTCCAAAGTAACACATGTAAGCTTCAAAGCCCCTGGAGTCCATACCACTCCCTCAAAGGTTTAGACAAACACACAGTTGCGTGGAAGCTCAGAGCAAGGTGTTTGTCTTTTCAGACAGGCTACATGACATTTGAGACTTCTGAGCTGAAATCATTAAATGTAACTTCTGGAAACAAAACTGAAGCCATCAGTTTGCCAGGGGGAGGCCGTCACACTCTCGGAATTAAAAGCAGTGGAACGGGCTTTGCTACTAGATGGGTAAGTCTGTTTCATTCCCAAGACGTGTTAATGTCTTAGCAGCTAGCTGTGTGTGAAGCTGGGAGGACAAGCTCTGGGTAGCGCTTCCCTTCATTTTGTTTTCTGTCTCTCCGCCTCTCTGCTGTCCCAGTAAGACTGGTGAGCTGTGAAGAGCAGGGCAGGATGTTACTTTAAAATAAAAGTAAATTACCAACTTAGTATTTAACTTCACAATTAGTCTTGCACCAAGACTTAACTGTGGTCATACAGTGCTTTCTAGTAGACATGTATCCTAGGAGTATCCTAAAAAAGGTGTGGGGTCTTGATCTGAAGCCTCTGTTAATTTTCACTGCTATGTCACAGTGCACATTTAAGCCGTTTGATGCCAACAACATATCTTGATAATGGTCTTTTCCACCAGATATTTGACAATGTCACATCAAAACCAGAAGAAGGAAATAACCTCATCAGGTAATTTTTGTTCCTAAATTTTGGCAGTGGTATAACTCTCTTCAGTCTGCCTATTGAGTAGGTTCTTCTTGCTTAACATAGTTTTCTATACGGTAGGCATTCTCCACTTGGTGGACATTTTGCTCTGTGTTTAATGGGTGTGGCAACTTCTGGTGCATGATTAATCTAATCTGTCTTGCATATCTACTTGGGGTATAATTAGGGTAAACCTGGAAGTGTATGTATTGCTCCATTGACTTTGTTTGTAGACAACCAGTACAGATTGGATGTCTACCTCATTTTTAATCTTGGGTAAGAAGTATCCTACTACTCCTTTGCTTTTCTTCTACATCTTGTATTTGCAGACGTGTTTGTTACTGGTTGTAGTAAATGCTTTTTATATTATCCTAAGCAAGTAGTGGGCTGATGTGGGCCTAGCCTGGTTTTTGCATTAGCTACGCTTGAAAAGATCTAGAGATCTTTCAAAAATGTTAACTGACAAAAACAAAAGAGGAAGACTTCATGTTTGTTATGGTACCAGAATATAATTAAAATAAAACCTGTATTTGACTTAGGCATATTTTGTTTAGTATTTCATCATTTTTACGTTTTAAAGGTTCATAAATAATTTGCCTGATACTATCAACGTCACTATGGGTGACACTGCATTTGGAACTCTGATGCCTCTTCATGCCAGTGATTACATCCTCTTTTCAGGAGGAAGGTGAGCACTTAACCTTACCACTTAGGTACACTATGTCCTTGGGAAAGGACATAGAACGCCTTTATTCTATATAATGCACGCAACTGTCTATAGTCTGAAGTGTGGTTTTTCTTCTTTCAGAAAAGATTATATTGTGGCTGTTAGAAATTCAATCCCTTGTTCAAGTTTCTCAAAGAAATTTGGATTTGGTAGTGCCTATACAATTGTAATTAATGAGGTGAGTTGCCACTGCTGTTGAATGAACAATACAGAATTACTTTTCATGTCAGTATTTTCTTTAACTAAAAGAAAACATTTGTAGAATTATCACTCTTGCCCCTTAATTGCACATATGATAGAATACTGATGTTGAACAGAGCATAAACTCATCCTTAACTATAAAAATAATCAAGGGTATGATAATGACATAATGTGGGAATTCATGTTCAGCACTAATGTCCTTAAATCTTTAGTCCTATGGGACACTATGGGTTTGCATGCAGTCTGCTGTAAAATAACTGCTTTCCAGCTAGGTGTGCAGTACTTCATGCACAGTATTGTGTATTTACCCAGAGCTTTGTGTCTATATATGGTTACAGAATATAGAACTGCTTAGAGTGCTTTTAGCATACAGCCTATTTATCACTGTTCCTAATGTGCTATTTTGATTTTCAGTGTGTTAGAAACAGTCTTAATGTAACATATTCTGAAGATATCCCACCCAATTCAGTCCATATGGCTTGGCAGATCCCTCAGTATTTTATTCTTACGTGTGCAGAAGTAGTCTTCTCTGTCACCGGGTTGGAGTTTTCATACTCACAGGTAGGTTTTGCTCTTCAGAGCTCTCATTGTGTTAAGAATCCTGTTACAAAGACCTTCTGTGATCACTGGTTTTAAGGTGGTGTTTCTGTATTGCTGCTTTGAGCAATTATGTCCTTCAGAGCTCCATAGAAGGACTATAGACTGGTTCAAGTTGGCCTTGTTTCACTAGCATTCAGTGTTTTCCATGAAGCTATGCTGAATTATAGCATTTGAAGACTCTTGACTGAGAGCCCTGAAATCTCCTTCTCATGTTTGACTTTCTATTGAAACTAAAAGGAACCGTACTGCTGCCTCAGAACCAAATGAAGGGTTCTCAAATATAAAATGAACAAGTACTGATACCTTATCTCCACACCAACCTTCTCCATACAATCTTTAGCAGCAGTTAAATTACACCCTCTTAATTCATTTTGTATTCCAACTCCAATTTATTCGCCATGTTTCTTCCCTTTATTCTGGTTCCCATTGCTGTAGTTTATGGACTACTGTAAGATGTGGCTTGCTAGACTGATGCACTCAATTTCTTCATCTGATGTGTACCATGTGTGCCTGAGGTGTAAAACGTGCCTGTTAGCTGCTCAGTGTGTGCAAAGTAAAAGATGTTAGTACTAGCAGTCTCTTGCTCCTCAAAGCCTTCTCCAAGCCTGTTTAATTCTAGAGAATTCTAGAGAACTTTTAAGTAAAACAAACAAAAGAAATCCTTCTCCTCCCCTGAGAACCAGTGTTTGTTATAATGTAAAGAATGTAGTAAACATCAGAAAATAAGTGATAGCATCATTTGACTAAAACTTGTCTTATTTCCCCAGGCCCCATCTAACATGAAGGCTGTGCTGCAGGCAGGGTGGCTGCTGACGGTGGCAGTGGGTAACATCATTGTCCTTATTGTGGCTGGAGCATCCAAACTCAGTGAGCAGGTAAGCACAGAAGCAATCATTGTGCTACTGTATTACACCCTGAGAAAGCAGTTCTGATCCAGGGGGCAAGTCATGTCTCATAGTCCTCAACCACAACTTCTGAGCACCAGCAATATGATGGATTTAGAACACAGGAGGTTAGTGTTAGCTACAAGAGTGTACCAGTCAGTTGTGTTTGACTGAATCTCATTACAGTATAGGAGTGTACCAGTCAGTTGTAGAACTAGTGTTTGACTGAATCTCATTACAGTATATAAGTAGTAGAGTTATGAATCTTTACAGTGTATTTGGGTTAAAACTAGTGCTGAAGGCTGTGCCAGCAGAGTGGTAACTTGTCTCCTGGAGCTTCTTCTAAAGTTTCTGTTGAACTTTTCCCCCAGTGCTTCTCCAATGTGTGTATGTGTAGACACACATGAAACTTTAAACAATTTAACAGATACTTTCTCCATGAAGGTTTCTACCTCTTTTATCTGTTGTTTGCCATTCTTAACTCTTGCTTGCAAGCAGCAGTTTCTAGTGTCTCTACAATAAATTGCTTCTCCTGGTGTTGAAAGGCTGTGAACTTCTCAGCTGAAATTCAAGACTAATGGGATTTAAATCTACCAAAATTACTTTTTTTTTGCTAAAGAATCTTCACCTGTGTACCTCAGCCTTGCCACATCCCTTCTGGCTCAACTGGTTTCAAACCTTGTTCTTTGTGGCATGAAATCTGTGGTGCTCCTGGGGAAGAGCACTTGGACAGGACTTTCTAGGACTACTAGTTGTGCTCCCTAATGAATCAAAAGGGACATCTGAGAAAGGGAAGAGCCTGTCCTGGAGCTGGTTTGGCAGTCCTGGTTTCAACTAAATTAACCTGAAAGAGTATGAAACAGAGCTGTTGAGGCTTTTCAAGTGGAGGTAGGACTTTGAAACTAGAGTTCCTGGTCTTGCTCTCTGCCTAGGTCTGCTGTCTGTAGAAACTTCTTACTGCTGATGTAAGTGGAAGCAGGATCACTGCCAGGCTCATTTAAAATGAGATTATCTGACCAAAAGGAGGAGCTGAGTTTCCTTTTCAGTCTTTTGGTCTATTCTTGTGCCTCCAGGAGAAGGTTATTATAGAACCTTTTGGCATTCACAGAACTTTTTTGTCTCTTCGATGAAGACAGAACTGCTGAAAGGGCCTCAATTCTGAGTTGCTTTAATGTGTATTATATACATCTAATACTTTGTCCTGTAAGTCATATCTGTTATATACATTCTGAATTAACCGAATTTCTTGCAAACAGTATAATTCTTTTGAGGAATGAATATTGATGGATAAATTATACTTTCTTTTTACAGTGGGCAGAATATGTGCTGTTTGCTGCCTTGCTGTTGGCAGTTTGCATTGTTTTTGCAATTATGGCTTATTTTTATACTTACGTTGATCCAAATGAGGTTGAAGCCCGACTTGATGAGGAAGAAAAGAAACAAATCCAAAAGGACCAAGTCAGCTATGAAAACCAAGCTGAAGCTGTCTCTCGAATGTGAAAGGTGCATTCAAGGAGTGTTTGTAAATTGTCTCCCATTAACTATATCTGCAGTAAGAGGAATCAGGGTATCAGTAAAACTTTGGGACCATATGTCTCATGGGAGAAGTTAAACTGTTTTTAACTTAAATGCAGCCTCTCTTGGGAAACAAGAGGAAAAGATTAGTCTCACTTCTACTCACCATGGTATCCTGAAGAAACTCCAGCAGAATTTGCACTCTTCACATACCTCAAACCTAAATACTATAGCACTAAAATATTGAAATTGCACTCAGCATTACTAAACCCTGTGAAAAAGATGTATTTTTATACTGTATTTCAATTTTATATCATGGAAGAATCAAGTATTGCCAAGAAATAGCAATTGAAGCCAAGCTGTCTGCACGACCCTTCTAGCCTCACTGTTACTTGAAAGCAGCAGGTCACATGTGCCTTAAATTTCTTTTGTACTTCCTTATGGATAATGGGAGCAAAGATCTGGCATTGCTCGGATGAAAATACTGTTTCCACATGCAGTAACTTGGACGTGCATTGTCATGTAATGCCTTATGTGCCTGTTAACTACCCATTTAACTCCTGTTATGTTTTTAATTAAATATATTAATGAGGGTCCACTCAGGTAAACAGATAATGGCAAATGATGCTTGGAATAAGCAACAGCAATAAAACTTGTGTTGTATCAAAATAATGGAAGTGGTGTAAGAGTGACTTAGTTGCTTGTTAACAAAACTTGATGCCACCTCTCTGCTGCCTATTCTTATGTGCCCCATCACTTGAAGCTAATGGTGGGTGTTACAGAAGACTGACACTGTTCCAACTTTATGGTGTGGAAAACTAAATTTTGCTGCTTACCAGGATTCTGTGGCTGGTGTTCTGCATATTGTTTTGGGAATCCCTGTATATAGATCCATATCCTGTACTTCCTCCAGCAGCTGGCTTGGACTCCCTGGCCCATCTGCAGCAGCCTCATCAGACTTACAGCTACTTTGATATTTGGCTCTCAATACTCTTATCCTATTTTACAGCAAGTGCAGCTTCGTATTTGTGAGTGATCACACAGACTTACACATTCAAGCAATGCATGAGTTGCTGGCACTGCAGATATGTGGATATTGGATACCTGCTTCCTAATCCAATTGCTGGCACTTTGATCTCCATGTGCACAGTGAACAGAGTCCCTCACTCATGAAAACAGCTAGAAATTGAGTTCTATGAGGCAAGCCCAAGGTGCTCTTCACCTGCATCTCAAATAACCTGTACACCATAGGCAGTAATCTCTATTGGTCCCTAAGGTCATTCCTGGAGACAGTTTCCCATGGACTGAACACACTGGGTGTTCCCCAGCCCCTGAGATGAGGAGCTCCTGGGACAGCCCCAGGAGGAGCTGGCTCCTTGCTATCCTCTGAGTTAAGGGGGTTTTGAACCAGCTTTACTTGTAGTAGATCACCCTTTCCTGTGCCATACAAGTTAGGAAAGATAAATGTTACCTTCTGTCTACTATTTTGCCCATACTTGGTGAAATGTTTATTTTTGCACTTTAACATTTCCCCTTTTTATTTGAAATGCAGGTCATGTGTCTATTTTATGCATTAATAGTTTGAAGTTAGCACTTTAGCAGACAGACTAACTTGTCTACCACAACTGGATTTTTTTTTTTTTAATGGGTAGAAAGTGGCTAATGTTGTAAAATTAGATGGGAAAGCCTTCTGACAAAGAGAAAACAAGCTCCCCATCTCTTCCGCCCTGCAAGGTAGTATGGAGGCAGCTGTATGTGACAAGTTTTTGTTTTGTTTTGTTATTTTTTAAAAAATCTTATTTTCAACATGGATTGAAGTAATTAAAGATCCATATGCCTTCTCATGCAAAATTTTATGTGAAAAAATTCAGGGAACCTTGTATAGAGACTGGAGCAGCTCTTGTCAACATTGCTGTTAGAAGTTATGTGCAGGGAATTGGTCTTTGGGCTGGAATCAAGTGGTTTTGGTCCCTTAGTTTTGCGGATTAATGAGGTGAGGTTAACCTCTAAATCTGTCTAGACTACCAGACTGTTGAGAAGGTCCTTTGTGTATCTTTTGCTGTTACAGAGAAGGCACTGTGTATCAGTTGAATTAACAGTTGACCATTCTTACTTCAGTTCTTAGTTAAAGCAAACAAAGAAAAATCTTTGTAATTCAGCACTTGCATTTTTTTTTAAAAGCCTGTTCCAGCAATCAAATCTGCACTCATTTTAGCATAATGTCGCTGAGTACCTTGCAGAGGTTAAAATATTGGTGAGAAATTAACTAGGTCATGCGTTAAAGAGTGAGAGACAAATTATGAAAGAGGGGGTAACAACTCCTGAAATCATCCTTCTCCACTAGCAGGTGGTTCAGGACAATCAAGGATCCTCCATTTCCAGCCTAATTCAATCACTGCTGTCCTGCAGGACAGGATTTGGTATGGTTTAGCACAGGACAAAGGTACCAAAGGCCCACAATTCAATGGATCCTCATTATGGTTGTTAAATTTTATCACTTTCCCATGCTCATTCCTGACCTGAGCACAAAATACCTAATGCCTAGAGGTGGATAACAAGTCTGTGTCTCAGGGGGTTTATGGCTGACCTGACTTATATAGGGGAGGGAGAGGAGAAGCAGATGAGCAAAATAGGACCTGTGTTTTTCAGAGTAGCTATGTGCTTATCTGAAGCAGTTCAAATCACAAATACATTTTAAGAGGCTTGTGTGAAGATCAGTGGCCACCCACTGCTGGCACCTGCTCCATCACTTGGAAGCTCTCAGCAGCATCCTGGTGCAAGGACTCTAATGGAAGGGTGAAGGGGGCAGTTAGGGGAGAAAAATGGGCAGGATATGAGAATTGGTTTGTTGGCCTTACGTAGAGGATGGGCTGGATTTTGTGGTTTGTAAGTGACGAGAGCTCAGTGAAGGGCTGGGAGAAGGTTTCTTGTGGCAGGGCATAAGTAAGCTTGGACAAAAGGTGGGGTGCAGGCAGTGCACCCTCCTGGGTGAAGCCTGTGCCACAGCAGGCACAGTTCTTCCTTGTGTAGACTCCATGGCTGCTCTCTTGGGCAGAAGCTGGGCTGGGCAAAGCCAAGCCACTTGTGCTTTTGTAAAGGGTCATGTTCCAATGAGATGCAGAGCCCAAAGCCTTTTTGGTGGTGAAACAGCTTGTAGAAGCTACATGTTATTTCCTTTGTGCTCACATATCAAACACTGATTTGACAGTCTTAAGCAGTGTTACAGCTGTCACTGACTGCATCCTAAAGGAGTCCTAATTGCTGCAGAAGTTAATAAGATAGGTTTGCTTTTGCCAGCAGAAGTACTGGAAGGAAAAAGCTGCCTTTCCCTGCAGTGCCCCAATGTCTGTAAGACCTTCTGCAGTACTCATAAGGAGACTATCTGTGGTGAGAGTGGCTCTGTCTCCATAATGCCATTGCTGTATTTTGAGGGTGAGGGAGAAATAAAAATTGAAGCTGAGGAAGCTGCGTAGCTAAATAAAACATGAATAAAAATGATGCAAGAGCTAGGCATGAAATAGAGAGAGGCATTTTCATAGCACTCAATCTCAAGGTACTGCTACGAGCCCTCATTTGACCTGCTTCTGCTGTGAGTAGCAAGTAAAACCCTCGTGAGATTAAGATGAAATCTCAGCTGTATGCTTATGTGAAATTGTGTTTGTCATCCTCCTATAACATTCAGCTGACTGCAATGTATGTTGCTGTCAGAGCTTCTTTCCATCACAGCCCATATAGGGCTGGTTTGTTTTGTTTTTATTTATTGCAGACTGAACATCCACTCCTTAGAGCTGGGAAAATACTTTATTCCAGCCTGATAAAATTGAAAAACAAACAAAAAAAATCATCCGTGCTCCTGGAGCCATGCTATGCTTCCTTGGTAGTAAAAATTGGACATGTCTTCTACTTACATGGAAGTCCTATATCCTAAAGGTCTTCTCTTACAAAAAAAAGTGTTTCATGTAAAGATTAATTCAACTGATGCAGCTCCTTTGGGCTGGTACTTCAACAGAGTTCTGGAACCACCTAACTGAATTAATGATATTGAATGCATTTTTACTGAAATCTGACCCCAACCATGGGAGGGTAGGGGGGCAGCACTGCCACAGGAGTTTACTGAAGTTAGAGCCCTGGATGTGCCATGCTGGCAGGGCCTGGCTGAGTGCTGAGCCTGAGGGCCATGTGGAGGGGGGACTGCATTTAGGAAACAGCATGGAAATGGAATTGGGGGGAGAGGACCTCCAGGTCCTTATATTTACGCCCTGGACTTCTGCTGCTCTCCAGGAGCAGGAATATGAAGTTACTGTTGTAGACCGTCTCCTCCTGTTTGGGCCCAGGCTGTGGTCATTCCCCATCACATTCCTGACTGAGCTGCAGAAACCCAGTCTCGGGTTTGGCTTTCCTTCTTTGGTTGGGTTTAATTTTGGTTTTGCCTCTCTATTTCATGCATTCGTTGCAAATGTGACTCACCTTTTCTCCACTGCCTCGGCTTCAGAGCAGATGGCTGCCCCAGCACCCAGTGGCTCTACACACAGCATGCAGCTGATGGACCTGCACCTCCTCCCAGCTTGCTGCAGCCCTGACTGTGGGGAGGCAGACCCAAGGTACTGCCCTGTGCCACCCATTTCCAGCTCAGGGAGCCTGGCAGAACCAGGAGGAACTGGAGAAGCTCTGAGCCACCTCCAACCTACCCTGAGGCAGCTTGCAGAACCTGAGGGATCTATTTGCTTTGCCCATGTCGGGCTTTTTGGAATGAGGTGGAGTCTGTGACTGCAGATCCTGGGTAATATGAAAGGCAGTAAAATATACGATGAGCTCATATTTAGTCTTTTGGGGGGGGGAGCTCGAGGTCCCCAGCAAAGCCCCTTGCCTGCCCGGGGAGCGACCGCTCATCTCCTACCAGCAGGTGGCAGGAAAATACACGGGAGGGGTGGGCATGGCGGGGGGGAATCCCACAAAATCCTCTGGCATCCCTCCCTTAATGATTT